TAAAGGAAAAGACTGGCAAATTGGCATTCATTCTGATTGAGAACTTTGGTTCATCAGAGACAGCATTAGTAAACGAGGACAGAAAATCAAGCCAGAGTGGGATGGATATTTGCTATCCTTTTAGCCAATAAAGGACTTATTTATGAGAGGTAATCAGGTTTTTATCACCTGTAAGGTAATACAGATACACAACTCCGTGTGTAGATGGACCAAGCACAGGCGTGCTGCCAGGAAGCCCACAAAAGAAGGAATGGAGATGGAGGAGGGAAAGCCGTCCTGGTCATTTTCAGAAATGAGGATTGTAACTCTCATTTGTTACTGCTGAATTATTTAATGGTTAATTAATTTTTGTCCCCCACTTCACCCCCCAAAAGGCAAAAGGCATGAACACATGAACAAACATGTAACACGAAAAGATCTCAAAATGGTCAATAAATATCTGAAAAGGTGGCTCAACCTCACTGATCAAATCAAAACCACCACGAGACACTTTCTGAATGGCTAAGATTTAAAAGACTAACGATACTGAGGTAGGTGAACTCGGGGGCCTCCTATGCCTTGCAGTGGTTCTCAACCTTCCTAATGCTGCGACCCTTTAATACAGTTCCTCATGTTGTGGTGACCCCCAACCATAAAATTATTTTCGTTGCTACTTCATAACTGTAATTTTGCTACTGTTATGAATCGTAATGTAAATATCTGATATGCAGGATGCATTTAAAGGAGTCTCAACCCACAGGTTGAGAACCGCTGCCTTAAAGGGAGGGTGGGAATTGATAAAACCACTGAGGAAACAGTGAGGCGCCTTCTGCCGAAGTGAGCACATGCACACGATCGTCCAACAGCCTCCCGGGCTCTGTCCAAAAGAACACGGCACGTGTGCTTCTGAAGACACGCCAGGACGGCCCCAGCAGCGGATTGTGAGCCCCAACGGGAAATCCTCAGATGCCCATCACTAGCAGAATGAGCATCTCTTTTTTGTTGTTGTTGTTAAGCCTCACCAGATATTTTGATATTTTTTCCATTGATTTTTTAGAGTGGAAGGAGGGAGGAGAGAGAGAGAGAAGCACCAATGCGAGAGAGACACATCGATTGGTTGCCTCCCTCACGCGCCAGAAGGGGGCTGGGGACAAACCTGCATTCCAGGTGCGTGCCCTTGACTGGGGATCAAATCTGTGACCCTTCAGTGCGTGGGCTGGTGCTCTAACCATTGAGTACACCTGCCAGGGCAGAAAGGACAACTCTTCACGGTCGACTCATTCCACGGGATACGGAACAGCCATGGAAGTGAGCAAACACATTGTCGCTCCCGCAGTCACACGATGAGTTGCATGTGCGTAGTGTGGGCCTCCTGGGAGGAAGAGCCTGGCGTCCTTGTGTTTTTGAGGGCACTCACGTTGTAAGAGGAGTGCTATGGTTGCAGCTTATCTCTGTCATTCTTCAATTAACACTTTTTTTTAAAATAAAACACACAAAAGAGAAAAGTTTGCCACTAGCAGACAAACACTAAAAGAAGTTTTAAAGACTATACTTTTGTCAAAGGGAAAGTGATCCCAGATGGAAGACCTGAGATGCGGAAGGAAAGGAGAGCAGAGAAAGTGGTAAATGTGTGCGTAGTCTAAAAACTGAAACTATAAGGAAAATAATGTCTTATGGGGCTTAAAAAATAGGATTAGCATATGATGAAAGGAATGAGCAAAACTCTCAAGGAAAGGTAGACTATTGCCGATTTGGCCCAAGACAGTGGGAGAGGTCTGTGGCTGGTGTCGCAGCCTCTGGGCAGAATAATTCCAGTTTCCCACGTCAGTTATCATGTGATCATCAAATCATCCTCAGGGCACCCAGAGAGCAGTAGCTGAGCATTCACCATTGTGCCGAGTCTGGTACCTGTGATTTTGTATTGCTTTTCTTGAAAAGATCCTCCCAAATTACATAAGCCGTAGTCCCCACAAAACCTGAATTTGTTCTCCATCTTGTCACCAACTCCCTGTTTTCTCAGAGAGAAAGATTGGGAGAGCTGGGTGGCGGGAGGGCCCAAGGAGAAGGGCCACTGATGTGGACTGGAGTGTGGGCAGAGGTCTGATTGCCAGCTTGGTTCCTGTGCGCCATCCCTCTGACCCCTCTGCTCACAAGCCACGCATCACCACTGCCTGAACCCTGAGCGGATCTGAACCCCAGAGCTGGGGCCCCTTTTTGGGGGGGACAAGCAGCAGCCTCTCTCCTGGACAGGCCTGTGCTGCCCTCTTGGCCCTGCCTGCCATGGGAAATGGACCCAGAAGGCCTCCTGGAGATCCTTGCCCAGCACTTGCCTGCCCATGGGCTGGTCTGGCTTAAACATCGACTTTAGATAGCTCTATTTGACCATGTCCTTCCAGCCTTGCTCTGGCCACCAGGCTGTCAGGAGGAGGTGAGCCATGAGGCCTTGCTCCCTCGCTGCCCCGGCTGCTGACTGCTCCCTGTGAGGCCCTCCGGGTGTGATCACACAGGGGCCCCTGGCTCCCAGCCAGGTTGAGTGGGTGTGGGTCAAGGCTTCTCCATGGACTCCCAGGCTCCCTTTGCTGGGCCCAGGGCAGCATACCTAAGGGAGGACCTCATGCTGGCCATAGGCCTGGGGCAGCCCTGGAACCCCCTGAGCCCCCTTGCTTATCACAGCCAACCAGCTCCCTCTCACTCACTTCCTCCACCTTTTACCTCGTCTGTGATTGGGGTTTTCAAGAACGATCTCAGTGCTGTGGGCGTAGCTGACTCAGGCTGTGGGCTACTAATGACAAGGAAAGCCTGTATTTGGGCTCTGCTGGAGTTTATCACAAACCCTGCAGATAGACCTTTTGTGTCCCCAATGAAGTTTGCTTTCTTCTCATGCTTCTCTCACCAGCCAGCTGGGACCAGGCCCCCACAGGCCCAGGGGACTTGCCTGGATGCCTGGAGCTCCCAGGCCCCAGCCCCCACCACCTCCCCACTCAGCTGGTGGAGTCATTTTGCCAATAAGCCACAGAGCTGGAGCTTTGCGGGTAACTGTGGACAAGGGTGGTCTCTCTTCCTCCCATAGGACATTGGTCAATGTCTGAAGATATTTTTGTTTGTCACATTGGGGAGGGGGTGCAACTGGCACCTACTGGGTGGAGGTAGGGCCTGCTGGTGCAGGAGTTGGTGTGAGGAAAAGGGAGGGAGGGGGGTGCACTAAAGGCTCCCATTTCGCCCTAGCTGGTTTGGTTCAGTGGATAGAGCATTGGCCTGCGGTCTGAAGGGTCCCTGGTTCGATTCCAGTCAAGGGCACATGCCCGAGTTGCAGGCTTGATCCCCAGTAGGGGGGCGTGCAGGAGGCAGCCAATCAATGATTCTCTCTCATCATTGATGTTTCTATCTCTCCTCCTCCCTCTCTGAAATCAATAAAAATATATTTAATAAAATAAAATAAAGGCCTCTATTTCCCCAGCAAGGCCAGGCATCCTCAGGGCCCAGCTGGCTTCCTATCCTTATGTGGGGGTGACAGTAGAGTAACATAAAAGGGCAGAGGGGAGAAGTGTGTGGAGGGACGCCCTGGCCCAAGGGGTGTTCTCACCCTGGCATCTGTAATGCAGCATTTACTGGAGGCGTGGGCAGTGGATGCTCAGGGTACAAGGGACATGCCTGTCTCTTGGGGCCTTGCTCAGACCCATGGCCCTAGGGGTTCCTCTTCAGTGACCCTCTCCCTGGGAAGTCCTCATCGTTCCCCCAGCCCTGGGACCCCTCTGGGGTGAAACTCCAGGCAGCAGAATGTGCCACATATGGTATGTGTGTGTGGGGCGGGGGGGGGGGGGAGGGGGGAGGAAGGGGGGTTGCTCAGATCAGGAGAGGCAGCGGAGAAATGAGCAGAGGTGAGGAGTGGAAGGACCAGCCTTCACACCCAGGGACACATGGATGAGACAGCAGCTCCATGCAAAGGTGAGGGAGTGCCCCACAGAGAGCACTACCAGTGTGCAGGAAATGCGGCGTAGGGTGGGAGCCAGCCACCATCTCCACAGCCCAGCATGTTGGTTTGTGTCCCCTTCAGACACAGGCCTTCCACAAACCTGTGTGAGTCAGAATCAGAAAGAGACACAGTCCATCTGAGCCCGTCCCAGCCTGGCTGGGGAGCAGAGGGTCCATCTGTGCTTGGCACAGGATTGTCACACACAGCTTCGATCCCACCTCCTTTAGTCTCTGCAACTTTCTCATCTGTTCCCACGTGCTCCACCTTGGCACTTGGTTTCACACCAGGTCTGGTGTCTCCTGGAGATGAGATTCCAGTTGGGTAGGAATGGCAGAAAGTGGAGCTGTGCCTCTCTGTGCATCCATGGGGGATGGGGTAAATTTTTAATTTGTCTCATTACTGGCCATGTGAACATTGATTGTTTAATTAACATGATGTCTGCTAGGCCTCTCCCCTGTAAAGTGACTTTCCCTCTTTATTATAAACTAGTGGCCAGGTGCATGGATTCATACATATTGAAACAAAATTAAGTAGAAGAAAGATTCGTGTGGTAATTACATTATTGCAAAAAATTACATTTCAAAATCTATAATAATAAACGGGTAGTATGCTAATTAGACCGGATGTCTTTCTGGACAAAGCCGGGGCCAGAGCGGAATTGCCTGGGCCCCGGGTGCCTTCCTGCAGCTGGAGGGAAGCCCGGGTCCCAGGTTGCCGGAGAGAAACTGGTGCCCACAGCTGTGGGAAGGAAGGCCTACACTTGCATGAATTTTCATGCTTCAGGTCTCTGGTAGTATATATAATATATTATTTTAATATCATTTTCGCTCTTTCTCTATAATAGAAGTGTGCAAGTCAACGTTTATTTTTAAATTGCCAGTGCAGGTTTTATGTACCAGCTGGTCAGTCGGTCACTTAACCTTTTATATATATAGATAAGTATTTTGTAGAAAAGTCCTTGAAAACCATATAAACATCTCATGCTTCCCCAAACTTTCACTTGTTTGTCTTTGAGTATGAACTCATGATTTACAATTTTTTTCAACAGGATGTAATCTGTTGCTCTCAGTACGCCCCGTCCAGCTGGCTCTCCGGGCATTGACGGTGCCCAGGCTCCTGATGGCTTCCCAGCCATCTGATGTATCAAGATGTTCCAGAAGCATCTGGTATTTTTCCTGCTCAGACTGGAATCGGCTGTCTCTCCAAGGAATCCTGGTCACTGTTAGAGGAAGATGGTATTTAGAAACCACGATCTGGGTGCTGGGGGTGCTCCTGCTCCTGGTGTCCAGATCCAGCCCTCCCAGTGACCAGAACAGGGCGTGAGTGTGAGCGTGAGTGTATGTGCGTGTGTGTACAGATAAATGTGTGTATGTGAGTCCACACTCACACAAATGTACACACGCACAAATGCATTCACTCGCTCACACACTTTATCCATCTTTATCTGCCAGTGAGTTTTCCCCAGTCAGCCACTGGCTGGCTTCCTTCCCTTGTCAAGCGATCTGTGTTTTCACTTCATCGATGTACAGTATTCTTCACTTGATCCAGAGCAGGATTCCAGGCCCGGAAGAAGCATCTCCCTCAAGCGTGTAATTTGATGGAGGGAGCACTGGCTCACTGGGAAACCGGATGAGCGGCAGAACTCACTTTGCCATTGAGGCTCTCTGAACAGATTTCTAGCCGTCGCTGTGCTCTTTATAAGAGCAAAAGTTGAAAACCCTTCCTGTGCATCGATGAGAGAATGGTTCCTTGACCCGTGGCTTGGGCGTCAGCCACCGAATTCTTGACTCCTGACTGAGAGCCGGGTCGGAGGGCAGGGTGGTAGTTCTCCAGGGAAGCCTGTGGAGGTGAGAGGAGAGAATGTTTTGGCAGAACAGCTTGGACTTGGCTCCAGGACAGTGCAGAAAGAGAGAACGCTCCGCCCTGTGTCCCTGGGGGGCCAGACTCCTTGTTTGCTGGGGTCATGTTGGAGCCCCCAGCTTCACTCCAGAAGACACCCCTACCCCCTTGCTTGTGGCCTGGCAGTGCCTTCTGCTCACTGGACTTGCTGTAGAGCAGGGGTGGGGAACATCTGGCCCACAGGCCATAGAAGTCCCGAGAAATCATTTGGTCTGGCCCCATGGTTGGCAAACCGCGGCTCGTGAGCCACATGCGGCTCTTTGGCCCCTTGAGTGTGGCTCTTCCACAAAATACCACGTGCAGGTGCGCATGTACAGTGCAATTGAAACTTCGTGGCCCATGCGCAGAAGTCAGTATTTTGTGGAAGAGCCACACTGAAGGGGCCAAAGAGCTGCATGTGGCTCACGAGCCGTGGTTTGCCGAGCCGCAGTTTGCCGACCACTGGCTCTGGCCCTGCCAGGGCATTAGGGGTGAGTTAAGTAAATGTTTAACCAAGTATAGCAGGCTAGTTTTTGATAATTTTGTATGGCCCAAAAATGATGTTATAGATATCCAGATGGCCCTTGGCATTAAACAAGTTCCCCACCCCTGCTGGAGAGCAAGGGAGGGACGGAGAGATTCAAGTCCCAATTGGCACGTCCAGTGAGTCAGTGTTCGCCGGCCCTGCCTTCCCTCTGCTGCTGCAGGTGTGCCTGTCTCCACCTGGATGTGTCAACCAGGAGGGAAAGCATTCCTTACTCTGGCCCATTTCCTTTGTTGAGGCGCCTGGGCAGGGCCGAGTCTGTCTCCCATCCTGAGAGATCACTATTTGCTCAACCGACTACTGTGCTCTGGCCTGTAGGACCCCACCCTCCTTTCTCGTTGGGCAGCAGAACAGCCTGGCTGGAGCCATAGCACTGAGGGAAGGTTTCCACGAGGCAGGATTAGGTCCCCAAGCTCTGACCTTTCTCCCCACCCCACAGGGCTGGATGGGTGCCCTAGGCCCCAGGGCCCTCCATCCCCAACATCTTGCCTTGAAAGTAAAGGGGCCCTCCTGGTGCCAGAGTAAGAGAACATGGGAAGGAACGTGGGCCAGGGTGCTCGGGAGTCAGGAAGCGGGTTCTGACTGGTGCCGAGGCCGCTCAGGACAGGCTGCCAGCCTTCACTCCATCCTAAGGGAGTGAAACGATTCTCCCGAATCCCCTGCCCAGGTGGCCCAGCCCCCGCCTGTCAGCTGCTGCCACCAGCCCTTTCTCAGCTGGAAGTTCGTGGTGCTAGTCCCCAGTTAACTCCTGCCCCGTCGAGGTCCGACAATACCTTCTCAGGTGTCAGAGGGGCCTTCGCATCCTATAGCAGTGGTGCAAGACCAAAAGCTGTGAACCGCACACTTCATATCAGTGAAACGTATGGTATGTGAGTTACATCACAATGAAGCTGTAATTTGTAAAGGGCCTTATTCTAATTATAATAAATTAATGAAAACAGCATAACTCTTGGTACTTGAATATGCTTTCTGTCGCTCCTTTGCTCTTTCAACAAATGGATGTAGAAGGGAGGTCAGCACTGTCTTCATCTCCAACTTTCTGGTGAGGCTGTCATGTGACGGGCTCAGTTGTCTGGATTGGATCGGGTCCTCTCACACCAACCTCCCCCGGCAAATGTGCAGCTACAGTGGAACCACTGGTTTAAATCTACAGCGTCACGCTTATAAAGTTTTTTCAGACCTTGTTTACAAAATAGCTCTTGGTTAAAAAGTAGAATCCAACAAGTACTGGCAGTCCACAACTTAGGAAATTATGTTTCTGGAAATGGTGGTCTAACCTGAAATGGTTTATATTTAATCACATTTTGCCACAGGAAAAAGTGCCATGGTGCTGTGGAGGGCAGGATGCCCAGCCTGGCTTTTAAAGAGAAATGGCCACAAGCACCGTAGTTAACCGCTTGTTACCTGCCTTGCAGTTTCCCAGCTGTACAAAACCTCATTAAGAAGGAAGCACACTAGAGAAGTCCATGTGTTAGTATCTCCTGCGGCTCCTTCGGACCATGGAGTCCCAGGACTCAGACAAAGTTTCCATCTTGTATGGAGAGACGGAGCCAATAGGAGGCTTTACATATCTAAGGAACTTGTTTTAGGGAATTGACTCCCACGATTGTGGGCCTGGCGAGCCTGTGTTCATGGGGCAGGGCTGGAAGCACCAGGAGCCCACACTGCTGTCCAGAGGCAGACTTCCTCCTTCCTTGTGGAAACCTCAGTTTTTCTCCCAAAGTCTTTCAGCTGAGTGGTGCGGCCCACACATTACGGAAGGTGGTGGTCTTCGTTACCGGAAGTCTGACACAGAGGTTAACCGTGTCCACAAATACCTTCACAGCAACACCCAGGTAAGCGTTTGATTGAATCACCGAGACGACAGCCTGGCTGAGCCAATACGTAAACCTGACCATCCCAGGTTCCAAACTTGGCATGGGACCCTCCTGTCCCTTCCTCAGAGGGGCCTTTCTGGTCACCCCCTGAAATAGAGGCCCTGTTGGAATTCTGCCTGGACGCACAGCACTCGGCACATCCGATGTTTCCCTGCTCCTCATCTGTGTGCCTTTTGATTCATCTGCTCTCGGTACAGTGTGAGCTCCGGAGAGCAGGGAACTTGTCTCTCATTCATGGCCGGGTCCCCATTGCTCACAGTGAGTAAGTGGATTATGAATTCATTCCCTCTGGGACTTTGCACACCATCATTGCCCACCAGATGCTAACTGTGATGGTGACACTCGAGGCGACTGGGATGTGAGTCGTGAGGCCAGGACACTGAAGGGCAGCACCCAGACAAACCCTGAAACGGAAGCAGCAGGTCAAATTTGGCATCTTTCCAACTACACCTCATGGTCTGGAATGTCTCACCTCCCAGGATGGCTAAGGGCTTTGGTGTGAAATGGTTCAAGTCCCAGCCCTACCACCTGCTAGCTGAATGACTTGGGCAAGTCACTTATCCTCTCTGAGCCTCCCTGTTCCCATCTGTGAGTTGGGCACAGTGATACTGGTAACCCAGGTTGTTGGGAGGGAGAATGTGATCGTGGGCTGGGTCACTGTGGGCAGGTGGCCCCAGGCAGTGGGCAAGGGGGGCTGTCTGGGAAGCCAGAGGTGGCTGGTGGGACATTTTCTGCCTGACAGAGTAGAGCTGAGACAGAAAATTGGAAACAATGAGAAAGACATTGTAAAGGAAGAATCGATGGCTGAAAATGAGAGAGGGACAGGTCAGAATTGGCTTTTTTATTTTATAAAATGTCTGGGTTTTGGTAATAAGAGAAATCCATGCTCATTGTAGAAAACGTCAAAAAGACAGAAAAGCAGAAAAACAAGATAAAGACCACCCATAATCCTACCATGCAGACGTCCCCAAGTTGAATGTGTGGGGTGCTGTAGCCAATTCAGTCTTTACTCCACACTCCCACCCCAGACACAAGGCTTTGCTTCTCAGACATCAATTAAGATGATTTAAAACTTCTAATGATTATATTTTAATGCACTGGTCCTCCATTTTGAATATTTTATTTTATCAATTCTAGATAAAGTGCTCATATCTAAATATGCATTTATATTTAAACCCTGTGGAGTGGGCTGCTGCTGACCCATTTCACAATGTCTCCTAATTTGCCGTCTTGGATTTCTTCTGGAGATTCCAGAGAATGACCATGGCAAAGGTTAACAGCATTTTCAGGACTACAGATACACATCAAATTGGCTGCAGTCACAGGCGTGAGTGCCTGCGCCTGCCTCTCTGGTGCTCCAGCCCCCAGACCTTCCCAGGAAGCCCTGTGATGGGACCAGGGGATGTTGGCATCTCTGATATGAGTTTCAGTAATAACACTTCCAAGAAAACTACATGTTTTAAAGTATTTAATCCTGAACATCATCCCCATGAGAGGGGTACTATTATCTGAATTTTAGCAATGCATACACTGAAGCTCAGAGAGGTTAAGCCACTTGCCTTAATGGCACAGCCAGTAAGTGGTGAAGTCCCATCTGAACCCAGGCAGCTGGCTGCAGTCAGTCTGGACCACGTGGTGTGGGAGCTGAGGGGGTCTCTCTTTTCCTCCATCAGCCCATTGAAAGAGGACCCAGAGATTTGTCTCCAAGGGCTGGAATTTTGGGGTGTCATTTCTGGAACCAGGAATCAGAACTGAGATTAGGGACATGTCTTTTCAGTCTCCCAAGCGAATGGCTACTGACACCTATTTCTTGAAGGTGTCTTAGTTAAGAAGAGAGAATATCTGAGACCCCAGGGACTCTTTGGGAGGATTGTGTGACTCTTGTGTGACCAGAAAACATACTAATGCTGGCCTCAAGCGGTCAACGCAGCTAGATAGGAGCAAGAATGAGATCGTGTGTGTGCATGCGTGTGTGTGCATGCATGTGTGTGCATGCATGGGTGTGTGCACCTATGTGAGTGAGCATGTGTGAGTGTATGTGTGAGTGAGCGTGTGTAAGTGCGTGCACATGTGAGTGAGCATGTGTGAGAGTGTGTGTGTCATTGCTGTCATCTCTTCCTACATCCACCATGGAACCCCCAGCTAGTGCATGGTAGGAGCTCAGTGCCTACTTCTGGGGTGAATGACAGCATGTCAAGCTCTCATGGCCCAGTTTCCCTGTAGCTCATGAGAGCCGAGGACGCCTTGGTAAGCGGACAGAATGGGTAACTCAGGGGCCAAGGGGTGTGTGAGGGCTCAGAGGAGAGGTGGGCTCAGATGTTTGGCAATCCACTGGGCCTCCACTGGGCACGCAAATCACTTCTCAGAGTTTATTGATCAGTGGGTGCTATTTACATGTTACAGACACTGGGACTCCGGAAGGAAGGAGACAGGCTGAGCATCTGCAGACAATTGGGAGTGGGCTGGAATTTACCAGCTGGCTCTCCCCAGTGCCCCCACCCTCCCTGAGCCCAAGGGTGAGAGCTGAGCCCTAAACTCCCCCAAGGTGGCCCTGAAAAGGAGCCCCGCAAAGGGCACCCATCATCCTGAGGCCAGCAGGCTGGTCATCCCTAGGGAGGACTCCTTCAGGGGAGCAAGAGTCCAGTGGGTTAAGAAAACCAAAAAGCCTTGCAGAGAAGCATCTTCTAGCATCTTCCGCACATGCTCCAGTTTATTAGGGAGAAAGCAGGAGGGAAGCCAGATGGAGACCAAGAGTTGGTTCTTCGCCCCCAAGCACAGCCAGTCGGGGTCCCCAAGCGCGCCAGGCTGATTTCACTCAGATCCCTCTGAACCAGGCAAAAGCAGGGTTAAGTGTGTGCGAG